TTAGTTTGGAAATCTAAACTTCAGACCACAAATATCTATATTTTAGACCAAATCTTACTTCATAGACACAATATTTCACAAATATTTCACATTTCAAGTGTGAAAGTTCTGAAACATTGAAACAAATTCTGTACCTGTCAATAGTAGTGACCCCCAAGGCAGAGTTCTAGGACCAACTCTCTTCATAGTCTACATAAATGACCTCTGTGATCATATTAAGAGCAACTGCATTCTTTTTGCTGCTGATGTAAACCTATTCAACACCACAGACAATACTGCTACCCTTCAAAAAGACCTTGACTATGTATCAGAATGATCAAACAAATGGCAACTTCAAATCTCAACAAATAAATGCTCTGTTTTACATATTGGCAAAAAAAATCAGAAAATAAAATACAAGCTGAGTAGTCAAGACCTTACTGATGATCCAAACTCTGTCAAGGACCTTGGAGTACTCATCTCTAATGATCCAAGTGCTAGAGCCCACTGTAACTACATAGCCAAAAAGGCGTTAAGAGTTGTTAACCTAATCCTGCGTAGTTTTTTCTCCGGTAATATCACACTACTAACTAGAGCATACAAAACATTTGCTAGACCATTACTTGAATACAGCTCATCAGTCTGGAACACGCATTATGTATCTGATATTATTATAGTTGAGAAAGTCCAGAAATATTTCACAAGAAGAGTTCTACACTCCTCTACTCATAGCAGAATACCTTATGCCACCAGACTTGAAATTTTAGACCTAGGCAACCTAGAACTATGCCGCCTTTGGTCCGATCTAAGTATAGTACATAAAATTATATATTGCAATGTCCTGCCTGTCAATGAATACTTCAGCTTCAACCATAACAATACAAGAGCACACAATAGATACAAACTCAAGGTAAACCGCACCAAATTTGATTGCAGGAAATACGACTTCAGCAACAGAGTGGTCAATGTCTGGAATACTCTACCTTTCTCTGTGGTTTCTTCCCCATACTGCAAAAACTTTAATCTTAGACTGTCTACTATTGACCTTACCCCTTTCCTAAGAGGTCTATTGGGGGCATGCATAAGCACATCAATGTGCCTACTGTCCCTGTCCTATTATTTTTTTATATGTATCAATTTCATGTATTCATAACTATGTTTGTACTTATACCTTTTATCTTATAATTACTTGACATAATAAAATAAATAAATAAAAATTTGAACCCAACCAGGTTATAATAAAAGTGCAAGCATTTCATCTGACATTCCAAAACAAATTATCAATTTTCTCTCCAATTACTTTATGCACCAATTTAAATGCAAGAAGCCATCAATAATATTAGCTAGTAAGTATAATCATACTGTTGAAATAAACACACTTTTTGAAGTTACAGTTTTTGCAATGCAGGTTTACAGTTCAACTGAAATTGTCAAATTACAGTTCTAAAGTAGCTGATTAAATTCTTTCATTACCACAACAATGATTCATGGTGATTGAAAGCTAGGTACTTATTGTGCATATGATACATTCTAACTTTCAAGCATCCTTGAGTAATGGTTAATATAAATGCAAAAGATAACAGATCAGTCTCCCTCAATATGAAATTGAAACATCTAAATGGAAAGCATGGTTCAACCTCCCACTTCTTTCAAAATGATAGGAAGGACAAATATATCAAACAGAAAAGGATCAAAACCAAATAAGAGGTAGAAAAAGTTGCTGGGGAAAAGGGAAACATAATTTGCATAATTCCTGGTATTTTCAGTTAATAACTTTGGTTTGGATCAAGATAGGTTGAGAGTCTGACTCAGAGTAAGGTAGTTCATATGTTAGTAGGATTTCAGGACACGTTTTATCTTATATTTCAAAATATATTTCTCTTCCCATTTCTTTATTAGAGAAGTCCACAATTTACAAACTTTTGTTTAACAATCATTCTAAGTTATGGCAGTGCTGAACAAGTGACTTATGACCAGTCCTCACACTTATAACCATCACAGCATCCTCATGTTACATGATCAAAATTTGGGTGTTTGGCAACCAGCATGTATTTATGATGGTTGCAACATTTCCATTTGTGACTTTCCCAGTCAACTTCCAATAAGCAAAGTCAAGGGGGGAAGCTGGATTTGATTAACATCTGTGTGATTCATTCAATGACCCCAGTGGTTCTCTTAACAATTCTGGTAAAAAGGTCATAACATCAAGTATAACTCATTTAATAACTGCCTTGCTTAGTTCAGATCAGAACAAAAGTTCTGATCCCAATTGTAAGTCAGGACTACCTATATATATTTTGAAAGAATACAAGAAATAGGTAGTACAAATAAGAAAATGACTTATAGATTGAGAAATATTATCTAGCCATTGAGAAATGAGTAGATAAATAACAAATGTTAAGTATCATCAAGCTAATATATTTTAATACATCATTGGAAACTTATAGTAGTATATTTTATATCCATTTTTCTAGTCAAAATCCACAAACCCATTAGCTTTTAACCTAAAAATATGCTTGGTTCATATTGTTCACATCATTGAAAGAATACTATAGTAATGAATAATGCACTCCGTCAATAATATAAATTATACATCAAATTAGAATATCGATTCTAAACCCAAATTTTGTATATGGCAAATTTTACATATAAAATTGCAGTTCCAGAATGGTTTCCAATTAGCATTAAATTATGCATCAGGCATACTTTTACATACTAACTTTAGTTTTTGTTATTTAACAGAAAACTTTGCTATCAACTGTTGCTTAGCTACACGCAGCAAATAATTCTGCGGAACGCATAGGCTATTAACTGTACCTGATCTCATGATAAGATATTCCAGTTTTAGTCTGTAAGCCTTTGTGATACATTTGAAATTGGGTATGTAATGTTATATAGATGATGCTCTTAAACAGATTGTCTCAGTTGATCTTAGTGATGGTTCAAGAAAACAACTGTTAAGATTAAGGCAGCCTTTAAGGTGCCTTTGGAATACTTGGTCTGGGATAACCTGTTCAATGTGTGCTTGATGTCTTACTTTTTATTAGCTTCTATGTTCTCAAATAATGGCTAGTTCAAGGGTTTTCAAACTTGGCAAGTTTAAGACTTGTGGACTATGCGACAACGAAAAGGTTAGCCATCACTGCCCTATGACTTGATATCTTCCTATTTCTTCCTGCATGAATATTATGAAGAATATTTTTAAACACATACAGCCTCCTGTCTTCAAAAGTAAAAGCCTCGATGGTCCTCACAATAACATATTTTGTAATTATCTCAACAATAAAATGCTTTAAGCCACTATTGTTCAAAACAAAGATCACAGATAATGTGCAGAAGTTGAAACATCCACAAAGAGAGAAAATAGTATTAGTTGTCCTGGGAATGCGTCAAGGGAATAATTAATAAACTAAATATAACAAAGTTGAGATTGAACGCTCATATAAGCTCTCTTGGAGACTCTAAGCATAAATAAATGTTTTACCCCTATTCTAGGTTATTCTAGGACTCTCAAGATTTACAGGATCCAAGCTGAATAAATTTGGGCAATTTGAGAGCATAGTTTTCTTTAGTGGTCTTTAAGTTTTTTGTACCACAAATCTCTAACCCTACAATGACTGGGCTCATTTTTGGATAACATTTTGTTAAAATCTTATGTTTAGCCCTGTTAATTAGCAAACCTCCTAACATGTGGAAGCACCTGACTCAACCTTGTCTAGGCACAAAGCTTACCATTGGGATTGGCTACTACTTGGATGGAAGGCTCCCAAAGACCATAGGCAAGACTGGGACGTAAGCAATAAAATCCCAGAAGACAGTATTAACAAACAGCTGCCATACTGCTACCAATGATTTAATGAACAGCTGACAGATGTTCCATACATATTTGGTTCCACACAGGACTTCTTCTGAATTATTCCTAAGCGCGCTTGGCGATAATAAACAGATGCAAGAAGTCAAGATGAGAAGCCTGACTTAAGGACATCTTTACCTTTTGAATTTGTGAAGGCCAATCTTCCCATCTTTTTACTTAAACTCGCTATGGAATTTTTTTTATTTTATTTAGAATGATGATCAAACTGTTATAGGGAAGGGTGTGCTTGCTACAGAAATATACCCTGTTTCTCCAACAATATGGCCTCCCCCAATAGGAAGTCCCAGCATGTTTTATAGGCATGAAATGAAATTAAGCCCCGCCCCCCAAATTAAGGCCTATATTAAAACATGCAAAATGGGGGGAATGGTGGGGGGGCTTGCCATTAGGAAGTACTTTTGTTGCACACCCAGATATGGTGCTGCCTGCGTTGACTCCGATATGAAGTGCCCCACCAACGCCGAGGTCAACATCCAAGCCATCGCCGCCCGCCCGAAGATGCAAGGGGGGGAATTAAGTCACCCCCCAAAAAGACAGCCTAGCCATTTTTTCAGGGCTCAAAATAAAATAAGACCCGGCCTTATTATATGAGAAACACGGTATTTCTACAAGATTTGTTTCATAGGAGACAATGGAACAGAAATTGATTTTGCTCAGAGGAGAGTATGGTATTTTTAAGTATGCTCTGTGTCTCTTCTTATACTGCCTAGTTCAGTTCTTATGTTTTCTGGGCACCGAGCCCAGAATTTTTTAATTCTGTCTGGAGATTGCAGCATTTTCCAGGTTGTGTATCAAGACAGATGGTTGTTTTATAAGTTAATGAAAGATAAAATGAAAAACTGTCTCTCTATTACTAGCAATAACCAGCATATTAAAGCCTGTATACCTCTTTTTTATATAAAAAGAGAAAGGTTTTTTATTATTATTATTACAGCTACTGGGTAACAAAATATATCAAGCTTTGAAATTATTACATTTTTATATCAGTGACATAACTAATAATATTAGAAGAAGTATTCTTCTTCAGCTACATAAAAGAAGGAGCAATCATTATTTTTATTCTTTTAAAAAGCCAAGAGTCTATTGTTTTGTTCTAATCATAGCTTTTAAATACTATTTAACATGACAAAGAAGAATCAGAACTTACCGTGTATTCTGATCCACATTCGGCCGATGGGAATAAAAGAAAAGGAAAAATAATGGCATAAAATTATTTCATTGTTCACATTGCTTTAATTAAAATGCACTGCTAATTTTGATGCATGATACAAAGCCCTAAGAATTATATGGGCTGGAACACAATTCAAAGGGGCACTATTTGTAATTGTTCAATAATGAATGAGTAGATAAATTATTGGAAGTTGTGAATTGAACTTGGTGCCATTTTTGCATAATTTTGCTTTTCAGCTTCCCTGCTCTTAATGAAATATTAAAGTTACAGAACTATTTGAATGTGTGTATTGTATATATGTGTGTTCATGTATGCACATATACACCAAACAAATGAGAGAGTTTTTATTTTATCATAAATGCATGTTATTCAAAATTTTACTGGAAAATCAATTGAATTAATATATCAAGAATACTCCCAGGGTTCCAGTCAGCAAACTGCATAGTAATTCAAGTTAGAGTCAAATGCTGGAGTATCAAAGCATTGTGAATTTGTGTCAAATGCTATCTTAATAATAACAAATGTGAGTCAGGCATAGTCTTTAGAGCAGGGGTATCAAACTCGGCTCGTCACATTGTCATCATGTGACATATCACAACTTTTTCCTCCTTCACTAAAACTGAGGTGGGCATGGCCAGAGCGTGATGCATCCAGCCCATGGGCTGCGAGTTTGACATTCCTGCCTTAGAGAATTGAAACCACCACTCCATGTCACCATTTAATTAATTTAATTTAAATTATTATAGTTTTGCCCAATAAATTATTCAGTTTTGTATAAATTAAAATTGTTGACAATAATGATATTTGTCTACAAATATATGTGCACTTCTTTGTGATGGAATTTTATGAATTATATCAAAATACTAACTGTACAACACCAAAGGAAAGATAAAAAACTGTGCATGTGTATATGTAAGAGAAACCTTAACCCTGCAGTCTGCCTCAATAAATATAATGGAGGAAACTGAATTTAAAAATATTGCTCCAAAATGTCTTACCAATTCATGATTTTTTTACAGCACTCACTTTGGAGGGCAAGGGAAAGATTAAGCTTCCATCATAAATAAGCATGGAGAACATAACAAGTTTGCCTCAAACAATTGCAAAATACTTGTTAGAGAAGTTTATATTTTTGTTAATCCTGTTTCATCTGTGAGAATAGTTGCTTTCTTTTAGGAAAGTAGATATGACAGTTTGGGGTGAAGAACTGGACATGAAAGCTAAAATGGCACCATATAAGAAAACTAAACTCATGGGACTCAGCAAAAGTCCCTTGAGATTCATCTGTCCCAAAATAATTATTATTTAGATCCCTCTGCAGTAGTCTTTCCTCTGACTGATAACTGTTCTCCAAAGCTCCACTCTCAGGCAGAAGATTTCCATGATATTTCTTCCATTTTTAATTTGTAAACTGGAGAAGTCAATGTGTGTTCTACCACTAGGCTAACTACCCTTTTTCCAGTGGAGGGACCCTTGGAGATGGTGCTGGTGCAACTGGAAATTCTTATGAGATGGACTCCCAAGAATAGTTTCACACAACAATCTAAATGGATGGGAGCAACAGAACCCAAGGAGAACATTTCTGTCCCCGGAGAGTAGTCAAGGCTTCATTGTGGCTTTTGGGGAATGTACACATCTCACAACCCTGGCTTCCCTTCAGGCAGCACAATTCTCCAATTCCCTATTAGCTCAAAGTTAGAGCATGTTTGCTGTCCTCCTCTGGTGCCAAAGAAACTCTGCGGTGCCAGGAGAAATATGCCCTTGACATTTTACCTCAGATGGCAAAAGTGAGAGCAGGGTTTTTGTTTTTATTTTTTACAAGAACACTGGGTATGCCCTGGACATGTAATGCAATTTTCAGATAGGCATGTGGAGAGAGCAAACTAAGCTCTGGTACCATAAACAATAATTTGTAGCCGTATGACTAATTCGTGTTCAGCTTGCCTCTCCAGTTAGCAAAAGTTCTAATTATGAAGAATGGCAACTTGTCCTTGGATGAACTGAATGAAGCCATGCCTGATCCTTGTAACCCCTACTAAAAAATATCCCTGGTGCAATACGGCTATTAGGTTAACTATGAGAGAAATCAGCTATAGCAACCAGGTGAACACATCAAATCTACCTCACAATTTTATGTAGTGCAACATTTAAGCAGCAGCGAAAAAAGTTGGGTAATATGTATCCAGCAAAGACTAGACCAAGAAAATATATATATATATATGGGGAGTCATTATTTTTAAGGGGATTTGGGGTTTTCCTAATCTGTAACTTATAAAAAGTTCGCTTATGAAAGTTAAGGGGAAAAGAGCAACACATAAAACAGCAAAAATGTCCAGAGGACTACTTGTGAATTTGTGTTATGAAAATAACAGTTTTGTGTGGCACTTTTAAGGCTATGAAATGTATTCGAGAATAAGACAGCCTGCTTCAACAACAGGTAACCCTCAACTTACAATTAATTGTTAGGTCACTATTCAAAGTCACAATGGCATTGAAAAAATCTGCAACTGAGATGGGAGCTAGAAGGCAGACTGTCAACTCCAGAATATTTTTTTTAAAAAGAGAAATAGTTTTATTACAAACAAGGGAAGATAAGATTCCTCACACTGAACATATAGTAAGAGAGAGAGAGAGAGAGAGAGAGAGAGAGAGGTGGTCCTCGATTTACAACTATTTACAAGTTGAGGCCAGAATTTCAGCTGCTAAGCAAGGCAGTTGTTAAATGAGTCACATCCAATTTTATGACCTTTTTTGCCATGGTCATTAAGCAAATCACTGCATTTAAGTGTCTCATGTGGTCATTAAGCAAATCTGGCTTCCCCCATTAACTACTTGCCAGAAGCCAGCTGGGAAAGTCATAAATGGCAACTGACATGGTTCCAGAATGCTATCATAAATACATGCTGCTTGCAAAGCACTGACATTTTGATCACATGGTTGTGGGGATGCTGTGATGGTTATAAGTGCGAGGAATGGTTGCAAGTCACTTTTTTGAGTGCCACAGTAACTTTGAATGGTTTTAAGTCAAAGATTATCTGTCTATAACAAAATAACTCAGTCTTGCCTGAGGTAATCCCTCCTTATCTGGCCATCTCAAAAAATCTCAAATCTTCCTTGGCTCTCAGGGATCAGGTGATTACTACTACGCACAGGAGGCTCCAGTTTCTTGAACCAAAGCAGGAATGAAATCCAAATTTCAGCTACCCAGGAGGCTGTCCAATGGGCCCAAATACAGTTTCTATACCGGGAGTATAGGGGGGAAAGAAGTTAAGAACTGAAATGTGAGCAGATAGTTTTTGGGTGAGGAAAAAAAATCTAATCACATCCATAATCCACAACCCCCACTCTAAAAACTGCTCCTCTTTTTCATTTGCATATCTTTTTATATTTGCACAAGATACAGAAAAGAATCGAGTGATGCAAATCAGACATTTGAAAGTCAATCTTCAGAGTCAGCTGGAATCAGTCAGGATTCAACCGGCCTGCTACTATCGTTCCTGTGGTCATTCTTGAACAAAAGAATTCCGTGGGAAGACTTTGGCTAAAGTTACATTCTATTAATTTGTCTAAGTAGAACCCATCATTTCCCATTTCACTGCAGAGGTAAATTAATTCAGCACTGTTGAATATCAACTGTCACTGCCATTATAAAATGGCAGTGACAGTTGATGATTATTGGTGATTATTTTGCTTAACACCAACCTCCAATCTAATTGCCACTCTGTGTAGACTTTGTATGTCATTTCCCTCTGATTTAACTGTTCACAATTCTAAACCTGAACAAATAATATATGTATACCCAACTGAAAATTAATATGCATTGGATGGAGCGTTTAGTCTCTAAAATATTAAACCTTAATAACATTTTTAATCCAGGATAAAATAGCAGAATCATATAACATCTGAAATAATTAAAACATCTACTTTCTTTACCATCACAAGCCCCTTAAAACATACCTGTAATTGTATATGGGTAGTAGTTCCATGCCTTCTCTGTGACATAAAATATTTTGGGGACAACAGCTCTTGCCCAGCTTGGAAGTTTGCTACAAGAGAAACAAAAATTTGAATCATAAATACAATCTACCCTGTTAATTCCTCTAATGAATAATAATTAGTAGATGATATAAGGTTGAATATAAGGATAAAGACAGATTGCAATAGCACTTAGCACTTATATATGGCTTCATAGTGCTTTACAGCCCTCTCTAAGCGGTTTACAGAGTCAGCATATGGCCCCCAACAATCTGAGTCCTCATTGACCTCAGAAGGATGGAAGGTTGAGTCAACCTTGAGCTGGTGAGAATTGAACTACTGGCAGCGGGCAGTAAGTTAGCATGCAATACTGTATTGTAAGACCAAAAGCTGTACTGCATTGTACGGCTCTTGATGGTGTCACAGATATATATTTTATGACCACAGCTGTTGGTGGCAAATGAATTAAATCATAAATCAATAATAAATAAATAGTTATTTCTGTACTACACACTACAAAACAAAAGCCTCAAATTTCCCATGTTTCTCATTTGCACATTTAGAACTTGGACAGTAGTGTCACAGGAAGAGGTATCTTCCCAACTGGACGTGTTGCAGTTATAAATTGGGAAATTGTTGTCCATACATAGCAGCCTTTTTTTCCCCACAGTGACAACTGCTCAAAATGTATTTTCGAAGCTTAGTTTTAAACAGCCATAAAACGGGATTATTTTTCCCAGCGTTACCATTCAGTAAATATAGTTTGAAATGCAAAAGCTCCCTCAAATCAAGCTTGACTCCAGGTGCTGTCAGATCAGTTTTGTAGTTTTCCTGACAGTAAGACACAAGTGATTTGGGTGCTGCCTTCTCTGGGCCTTTTTTCTTAGCCTACACCTCGGGTGATTGATTTATGATTTATGTATTTGTTTTATTTATAAAATTTATTGGCCTCCCATCTTATCACAGGTTAACTCTGGGTGGTTTACAATAAAATATATAGGTGGTCCCCAAGCTAACTGACACAGCCAGGTTTTTGGCCCCTTATGAATGGATAGGAGAGATGGGGCCAACCTCACATGGGGGGGGGGGATGTTCCAGAGGGCAGGTGATTCCCTCCCCTACTTAACCCTTTTTCTAATAAGCCAGTTACTTATTATAACAAATATATACTTTAGGCATCAATAATATATTATAATTCAGTAAAGGACCAAAAATAAATATCTTATTAAAATGAAAATGTTCTGATTTTTTTTCAAATATGAGTTGTGTTGTACGTTTTAGAAACTCAACCATTTGTCTTCATCTAAATAATCACACCAGTGTTCTTACTCTACACAATGTTTAGGTGCTGTATAAACCCTAAATAATGAACAACAACAAAAATACAGCCTGGTAGCATTTTTCTGATTAACGATCCAAAATGTTAGCTTTGTATTGCAACTAATAACTTTTAAGGTTTACTTTTCTCTCCCAATTCTAAAGTTGTTTTCTTATTATCAAGTGGTGGCTAAATGAGTGATGATACTCCTAACATGGGAAAAAATGCCGTCTGCTTGCATGCTGACGTCAGTATAAATCCTTCTCATATGCTGGTAAGGATCCAGCAGAGAGCAGGGAAGATGATAAAGAGATAGGTGGCAAACCCTACAGGATTTGGATTGTGGTTAGCTTAAACAGAAGATGAATAAGATGAATAAGGTTCGGTTCAAGTATGCCCAAACTCCAGAACAGGGAATTTCACCAAGACAATGTGAAAAATTGAGGTAGTCAACGAGTTGGGACATGCTTACTAACTGGATGCACAAAAAACTTGGTGGCAGGGCTACTGTGCATGGGGAACATTTTTTTTCATGCATTCACTGAGATAAGAAAAATTAACAATGTGTTTTCCAAATATAAAAAGTATTTTGGTTGGGCGGGGGGAAAACAGTCACGATTGCCTTTATTGTCAGATGCTGTTATGTGAGTATAATTTTGAGAGGTATCCAGAAGTGCCATTTAGTGTAAAATGCAACAGTGAAGATATTATCCCTTCGGCACTGCTGGTGTCCATATTAAAAAAAAAAGACTTCATTTATTATTTAAACTGATTTATATGATTTTTCAGAATACTGTATCACTTGAGTGTACTGCGGTAACCAGCATATAGAGATCTGGAAAAGCAAGGATATCAGTCATAATACCAAGTACAGAATAATAAATGCTATTGTTTGTTCTGTAACTACCTAGTTGTGAAAACTGGATAATAAAAACACAGATAGAAATTAAATTCCTTCAAATTATGGAGATTGCTAATGTGCAGAGCTCAGACACAAAGGGAGAGAGAGAGGGAGAACGAGGGAGAGAGAGAGAGAGAGGGAGAGGGAAAGAGGGAAGGAGAGGGAGGAAAAGGGAGAAGAGGAAGAGAATAGCATCAAGAAATAAATATCATTGGAAATTAAATTTACCAAGCTCAATCTCTTTTATTTTGGTCATATTACTTATTCAAATCCCTTGAATTAACTATGCTAAGAATGAAGGTGCTAGAAAATGAAACTGGCTAAAACCACACTGGATAGAGACCATCAACAAGATTCTGGTTTAAATTTAGAGATATTAAACCAAGTTGTAAACTATCAAAAGCAATGAAGAACACTATTAAAAGTCATAAATAACTGAAGAAAAAAAAGAGAGCAGGGATGTGCCTCCCATACAATTAATTCTAGGTCACTTACAATTCTAAAACAATATCAAAACCAGTCCATCATACTGTATGTATTGGCAGGGCCAAAAACTTCCCAGTAAAATGCTGACAGTCTTATATGGTGTTCAGCCCTTTGAAAGCCCTGTAGAAAAGCATGAGGTTTGCTCCTGGTTCTGTGGATGTGACAGGGGAAGGATACTGTAAAATCTCCAGTCAGAGGTGATATTTGCCGGTTCTCCGGACTACTAAAAATTTCTGCTTCCGGTTCTCCAGAACTGGTCAGAGCCTGCTGAATACCACCTCGGGGTTTGCTGCTTTTAAAAATCAGAACAGGTTTAGGGCCATCCAGACCTAGAGGCCTGCTACTCTTCAGTGAGGCACCAAAATTGCCAAGATCATCCTCAAGGATTCCTTACTTCCTTGAGGCAGAGGTATGGGGAGGACTTGACCGCATGCTTTCTTGAGCTAACATATTGGTTAGGCAAGTCCCACTCCGAACAAAGAGACTTAATGGAAAGAACACAGATGGTTCTAAGCCAGTGATTTCTCAGACACATTTTAAGTTGCTAGCATTTACTTTTTAAACCTTACCTGGGTTAGGACCTATCTATCTGAAAGTCCAGTAGTTTTTGTGATACTGAGACAATGTAATGTAGTGGCAATGGTGCTGGATTAGAAAGTGGGAAACTCCCTCAGGCAAACCCAAAGGTGCTTTTTCATGAGGCAACTGGACTTTTTGGTTTTTCTTTTCTTCCCAGAAACTGAAGAAGCTTCTTGGAGGAGAAGCAAAATGTCTTCAAAGAAAAACCAGAAAGTCCAGTTGCCTCCTGAAAAAAGCACCTTTGGGACAACCACGACCTGGATGACTGAGAATCTCCATAGACATCCCTCAGGCAAAACTATTAGCTGGGTGACTACGAGAGCCACTGGCTCTCAGCCCAACTCACCTCAAAGGATTGTTGTGGGGGGAAGACAAGAAAGGAAGCATTATGTACACTGCCTTGAACTGTAAAAACTAAAGATGGGATATATCAAATAAATACATACATGAAGATATTCAGATGTTACAAATAACCTTCAATCAGGGCCCGTTTATTGGGCATATCAGAAAGGGTCTACTTCTGCATGGCTCTCATAGCATGTGTTCTTCATAGAGTTGCATTTGACCCCATCCAGTTTTCTATTCCTGTCATCAAGGTTTTATGGTTAATTGTCACTAGTTTCATCATCACACTTAAATTTTGATTTTGCATCTATATTTTGCATGCTGTGAGTTGCCTTAAGTATTCAGTGCCAATAGAAAGGATGACTATCAATCAGATAAATAATTAGAAATGATCAGGCAGCAGGATTATGCTGTCCAGGGTGTTTTGGAATCTCTAATTGATTTTTCAAATAAATTGTAGCCAGGTGAGTTTTATAACAACTCACATTTAAGGTAAAGATGAAGATGCCCCCCTGAGTCAAGTCTGACTCCTGATAACCAGACATGTCCATCTAGATTTTAAGGCCACAGCATGGAAGCATTTTGTCACAATCTTCTTTCAGAATCTTTTCTGATTATTCCATCAACTCTATAATCCTGGAATCCCTCATCCCAGGTTAGACTAGATCCAACTTGGCTCAGCTTCCAAATCCAGACAAGTAGGAGACTGTGATGAACAGACCCCAACATTGTATTCTTCTTCCCTTGATACAAGTAGGGGACAAAAAGCCAAAGGTGCTAAATTTTATTTAGATATGTCCCTATTATGCTAAGCCAACCTGTCCCCAATCAGAAGACCTGTAGATACCTTGGGACTGAAATATACCTGGAGAAAACTGGATTGAGGAAGACTTAGCTGAATTAGGCTTTACTGCATGGGTCTCCAAACTTGGCAACTTTAAGACTTGTGGACTGCCTAAACTATTTCCACACTGACCCCCATAGGAAGGTAAATTTATGTATTTAAACAATTCTTCAAAAGGACAAAAGATCCCCTCTACATGCACATGTGACATACCTATGCATAAATGCATTTGTATATGTTTCTGTTTGCGTCTATCTACTGCCTACCGTAAGCCATCCCCATACACAGAAACACCTTTCCTGGTCCAAGAAAGCAAAAGATGTTAATTGAATTAATAATTACTGATTAAGAATTGCTTGCAAAATAGGGAAGCTAATTTGTAAAGTTAATTATCCACATATACAAACAGTCTTCTCTTTCATGCATCTGTTTTTCAGGACTCTGTAAGTATAAACGTCTGCAGGCTTACTCTATAGCAAGATTCTCTTCAGTCCATGATGGGCAGAGGCAGCTGCTATGTTATAGATGGCTCTGTGTAAGCCAGTTTATTATATGGGGCTGTAATGAAAACTGGAGAACTTTAAAGCTGTGTCTTTCT